TCTCGTGCTTTATACAGACTTGGCAACAAATCTTCATCCCCTAACTCTCGCTCTATCAATTTCCCGTCCTTTCCTCCCCTCGCTAAGATTTCTTGTCCCATCTCTCAGCTATCTCGCAGGCTCTCAGTACCATCTGTTTCTGTTCAACAAGAATCCAAGACAACGTCCAAACGCATCAATAGGCACTCAAGCTTCAGAAGCTGGAAAAGCTGGGGCTCCGATGGCTGCTCAAAGGCGGATGGCTCCCTGCGGTTGGTTAAGCCCTCAAGATGTGCAGAATTGCCTCTCCCGTTTTCTCCTAGGCTCTTCCAGCGCATGTCTGGCGATGATAATTCTCCTTCGCCCAATTTAACTGATGAATTGCCTCTAGCCCCAGCCCTTGCTACACTGGATCCCTCTCTTCGCTTTCTGCCTGGTGCGAATTCAGCTGTGCATATCTCGCATCCTTACGCTCTGGGTTCACCCAAACGTCGATCCGTAACCACACCTGTTGTTACTTCCGGTCATGATTTTGCAAGTTCTGGAGCCAATCTTGAATGTGCTCCCCCTTCGTCACAAATCGAAAACGCTTCTAAGTCGCAAAGTTTACCCGTCTCCTCCAAGGCCCGAACGTCATGGCTTGCGCGACAACCTTTCGATTCGATCGCTACTGTTATCACCACCGTTCCAACAAACACCAGGGACGTATCTCCTTCCTCTACACCCCCTCTATCGTCGTTCCCTCTGCCTCCGGCGTCCGCTGTCATTGGCGAGTCTCAAACCGGCCGCCGGAAGGTTCTGACGCAACCTTTGCCTCTCCAGCCTATCCACCAGTCATCGACACGGTCACGACGCAGCCTCGCACTTGGACCCTCGCCTTTGCGAAATATGAGTTTACCCGCTAATGAATTCGGTGAGCTCAGCATGTCGGACCTCAAGGCCATCCAGACCTTCCTCGACAAAGAAAACGAGTCGGTCGCCGTGACTATAGTTTCTCCTGCGACAACTCAATCTCACAATCCGTATGGCATTGGTCTAGGTCATCCAGAACGACCCCCTTTCAACAACCATCGCAGCAGCGTGTCCACTTGGCGTTCATCCAAGGGAAACGAAGATCCCAATCTTTTGCTTGGGATTATCCGCGAACTGGTGGAGGAGACGAGCGAGTGGGATCCCAGCCTGTTTATGAGCAAGAATTTCAAGACGATGCTTCAGAATGCTGAGGTGGAGCCTCGCACCGGCGATGACGCCGGCTGTCCGTTAGGCAGTTTCGCGGCTACTCCTATCCAATGTGACTACGACAAGCCGCATGTTGAGCGCCCGCCGAGTTCACCAAAGCAGACCATGACATCCCGTCTCGGGGGCGGGATACTGCAAAATGGAAACTCTGAAGCGAACCGATCTTTGTCAAACAGATCTACTCAATCGGCTCGCCCGGCGACCTTGCGTACACCTTCCACACAGTCGAGACGGACATCGACCAAGTCTAATGGATCTACGCGGCTCATTTCTTTTTGGGACGACGGGAGTACGACTGAAGATAAGAGGTTTGTGGGTGCTGGTTTGACGTGATGGACGATAACTGATTTTCTTTTACGTCGCAGCGGATCGACCGGGAGCCGTGTTCGTTGAGGATGCACCTTCTAAAAGTACGTTTGCGACACCATCCCGTAATCTAGCGATACCTGGACAATGACAGTCGACATCACGGACAACTTGAACACGTCGTTAGCTTACTCTAATAATCTTGAACTACCAAGATATAGCAGTTTACCTACCATGGCTTCTATTTTCACTCCACATTTGTAACCCGTCACTTGCCCGAACAGCCGTCAACGCGTCAACGCCATAATCACATATCACCTTGCATAGCATGGTCTCTTGTCGACCATATTTCGCCAGATCTCGTTGTCTCGATTGATCCGAGTAGAACGGCATTGATTGATCTGATGGCTCAGACTCGTCGATTTTCGGTTCGATGCAATAGCTTCTTCGGTTCACTGTCGTCTATCGACATGTTGTCATTGCGAACGTACACCACGTACTTTTTTTTTGCCTTTTGAATCCCTGTGGTTGAATGTACAGTTCGTTCTATGTTAGTACGGATCACCGCATATTCTTGACGCCAGGAATTTGCAGTTTAGATCAGGTCTTTTATCTGTAGCTTAGCCAAACTATGTTTCTGTACATACCCTTTGATTCTTACGAAGGAAGCGGTATGTATACCATATGGACCCCTATGCAAGGTGTTGAGTCTGACGAAGTCAGAAACATCGCCAGTTCCATATGTTTGTGTCTAGCTGTTGTCCTTTCTCCAAGCTCATTAACATTTGGAAGGCACGTGATCGTGTTTTTTTTTTTGACTTTTATATTTGCAGAGCGCTGGAGGTAAGACTAACTACCAAGACGCGCTGCTGTCCCGAGGGCAGCGAGTATCTAACTGTCTACTGAAGCCAGCTTCAGTGCAATGGGCCAATACGTAACCAGTTTTATGTATGAAGCCTTATTTAGATGTGTGATCTCCTCAAGTGAGGGACGAGATCGTGTTTGATGATTGACGCGACCGTGCAATCATCTCATCGTCTCTCGTCCGTGAATTGTTTTTCTACATTGACGCAAATACAATATGGGGTTTACCGGGTGTGTAACAAGACAGAGACGTGAAGTCCGATACCGTTAATTGCTCTGATCAGACTTGCGCGCTGGGTCAATGCTCCGACCACAGGATTGCAATTAGTGCGGGACAACATCACCTACAATCATAATGTATGTAGTTCTAGTCTGTCAGCTTGCGTTTTTATAGACTTGACTAGGGTATCCTTCGCGGACGATGGCAAGTATACGTGCGTTCATACCGATCTACTCTTGGACAAGTGCCTGGCCTCAATCTACCTACTGAACGCACCATGTCCACTGTAACCATGAACGACAATGTGTTTGTACTGCTCGAAGATCCGCTTGCACCTATTCATGGGGATATACTATTGCCATTGCCCGGGCAAACAACGGTACAGCCGCCCCGCCATTACCGCTCTACATTCGTCACGCTCAGTCCCCCAAATGCGCTCGAGCAGCTGATGGCCCAGCTCAAGGCACGATGGGTGCCGGTACGGCAGGCCTCCGGTAGCACCAATCCCCGTGCTCAGGGGGGAAACCAGCTCACAATTGACGGGTTCCTCTTCAGCATCGGCACGGACTGGTTGGTGCGCGTAGGAAACGTCGTTCTGCCCGGCGGTTCCATCAAGGGTATGCTGCTCGAGGCAGAGTATCTACCGCTCCCCGTTCTGCATTCTCCGATCCCTGACGCGACATCCGAGCTTCTTTCCAACTTGTTGGCGTCTCTCCTTCCTAATATACCTGGTGCGCGAACGGTCGCAGTGACTAGCAGCGATGCGCAATGGGAGGATGCACTGTGGGATCGAGAGGAGGAAGAGGAAAAAATGAAACGCGAGGCCCAGAGAACAGCTGTCAAGGAAAAGTCGAACGGCACCAGCGGTCGGAATGCTCTTGTCAATCCTGCTACATCTAATGCTTTGCCAGGCGGCAATACCACTGCCGGCGACATACAAATGTCCGATGTCTCAAGCAGTGGCGTCGTGCCAACCGGGGCAATAGGCGTTGATGCTAGTAGCATCACTGCCGAACAGCCAGCAGCAGATGAAAACGACGACGATATATTTGTCTCCCCCGAGACTCATCCCATTCCGGACAAACTCAAGGGGGATTGGGTTGGTGTTGCTAGAGACCGCAGATCAGCCTTCTTGATCATAGGTGCATTACGATCGGAAGGCATTCTCTAACTAGGACAAGTGGACGACGACTTGAACACAGTGAGTCCAGTACTCTACATTCAGAATCTGTTTCTGGATCCACCCTACATATACCAGTGTTTAGCCCTATTCTTGACAAAGTCCTCATAAGACCACGTCTCCGCCTCCAGCCACTCGACCTGCTTGAAAATATATGCGTCTGCTTTTACGGCTGGCGCGAGGTCGGCGGGCATGGGCGGTGGGGTCGAAGGCAGGAGCGAAGGTTTTCTCGCGCTACCCTGCTTGTGCTTCCCGTCTAGATCCTTCATCTCGTTGCGGCCAGAGAAGCGTGGATGGTCTTGGGTGACGGCAGACCGCCGACCAGGTGTCTCGGTAACAGCGGACGCCTCTGTTTCGATTGCAGTTATCGCTTCCGTTATAGTGATGAATGCCCCCAAGGGATGAACCTCCACTTCCTGTCTATCGTATTCCTGTAACGTATGAACGTTGTGGAATAGATTGGTATTCAAGCTCGCTCACATCGTCTTCGAACTCATCTAGATATTTTATGTCTAACGGCGTAAGACCAGTTACCAGCGTTCCTCGCACACTTATTTCGTTGTGATCCAGCAGCGTTCCGAAATTTTTGGCGCTTCGTTCATATGGAATTATTCCCGGATAATCTGCGTCCTGCACGCATATCATCATTAACAGCTTGATGTGGGCCTCGTGTGGCTTATCTCATGTCCCACCTTGACACGATGTCTTGTGAAGTCCTTCGGACGTGGGCTATTTACTATTTGTATAAGTACTCAAAAAGGCGCATTTACCAGCAGCACTTCGCAAAATCGATCGATGAGTCTCGATGAATAACCGTAGCTCAGACGTACAAGCAGGGCAGATCTGTAGATGCAGACCGTCGTTATTAATGACCTTGGTTAAGATCTTTGGATGCATAAGTGAGCCATAGAAGAAGGCGGACATCATTATCAGATCCAAAGAAATGAGGGTGTCCCAGGAACGTTTTTACCACGAACACTTGCAATGCAAGCGTTCAAAGTCTGTCACGGTCAGACTCGTTATCCAGTGCCTTATGTCCCGACGGAGCCCGCCGATGGCAACCGCCATCAAGGCAACAATTTGGGCACCATACGCACACCATACGCTGAAAAATGTGGGTGCTTGCATTTGTTGGGTAAGTACTGAGTGTGAAAGTATATACATCCAAAAGAAACTTGGAACATGCGAAAACCTCATGATTTTACACCGGCAGGGCCTGGCCGGGAATTGAACCCGGGACCTCGCCCAAAGAACTGTTATTCCAGACATCCCCTAAGGGCGAATCATACTACTAGACCACCAGGCCACGTAACTATAGATCTCAGCATTACATCTATTCTGCCTGGCCTGCTGGCATTCAACTCGTGAGAATCGTTAGGTAGCCACCAGCGCAATCGCCGACATAATTAATATTTTGCAAGCAGTGACGTCCGGGAGAACACACATGCCACGGGCGCGAGGGGGAAAGATTGTTCAAGCGCGACTGAAAGGCAATTCTCGCCTATAAGTACTCCGACACCTGCTAGGAGACTTGACTCTAGGCCAAGTGGGCATTCAGAAAAAGCAACTACGACAAGGAGAAGATGATAACACTAACAGTCAAAACACTCTCTTGTTCTCTCCCCGGTCAGTGTCTTGTTTTCCAATGTGGAACGACAGGAGCCTCTGCGAACATCACTTACAAATACACACACACAGATAGAGACGCAATGGTGGATATGGCACCGGTCCTCATACGAGCAACAGGTATACCAGATAAAAAGACCAGCATTTTCTGGTTCGGATTCCGATGTACGAAAAAATACATACATATATTGTCAAACAAAGATCATATCAGCGATAGATGCCCAACCCATAAACAGCCCCAAACAAATCGTGTGACCAAACCCTCACGCGTTCCCAATATTGAAACGCTTGAAGGTATACCTGAAATATTAGTCTCAGCCCAACGAACAGTGCAAGAGCGAAGAAAAAGATAAAAGCAGCCACACACCCAAGGAACGCAAGGTCTCTGCTAGTACTGTCCGCATTGGACGACGTCGCCTCCTCCGGCGTCTGATCGATTTCGTCCGTGGGGAAGTAGCTCGTGTCCGTCATGCTGCGCAAGTGTGGTATGAAGGGTGCCTCGATGTTTCGTATGGTATCCCAGTCGACACCGTAGAAGAATGGGTGAATTTTTAGTTGTTCAACGTTCAATCTCCGATCGGCGGATGTTATCATCCTTGAAGGCAAGTCAATGGCGGTGCTCAAGAAGACATGCCAACGCAGATATACCGTCGAATAAGGTCCTCAGCTTCGCGGCTCAGGTGAACGTCGTCCGGGAACATGAGATGGCGCTCCCATTCTATAATCTTGACAAATAATCAATCCTGAGCTCAATACCACTTGCAGCTGAAATCACCTTTTTGTACGTTTCATGTGTCGACTGCGAGCAGAAAGGAGGATATCCAACCTTTATGATGTGCAGGTGAGTCAACGTCCGCCATAGCAGTGTTCGTGGCACGTACAAGACACTCGAACATGATAGCACCTAAACTCCACCAGTCGCATTCTCGACCATAGCCTGTTTGCTTGAAAATCTCAGGCGCAATGTAATCAGGTGTACCAACAGTAGAGTAAGCTAGCTTCCGACGATTTGCCTTCCATGTGGCAATGTCGTCCTAGAAGAAACATTCACTAAACACGAACATTATACATAATGCACATTCGAACAGCTAACCTTGCTTATAGTTAAGTTGATCGAGTTGACCATAACAGAATTGCGTGCAGCCTGTTGACCGTTATGTTGTGATGTAGCAGACTCCATCAGCCGCTGATAATACTTAGAGTCGTGCCGTCTATGGAAGCCTGTACTCAGGCCGAAGTCGCTCAGTTTAACGTGTCCGTCTTTGTCACTATAAGGCCTGGTTAGATCACGTCGTATCATTGCAGCGAAGAGCGCACATCAAGATATTGTCCGGCTTGATGTCTCTATGTACGAATCCAAGCTAGGATCGCGACAATGTTCGTCGGAGTTCATGCAAAATGATAAGTGCAACGTGACGTACGTTGTGAACTGCTTCAATTGCGAGAACACACTGCCCGATGTAGAATCGGGTGACATCTTCCGAGAAAGTTTCATACTTGATTAGCATGGACATCAAGTCCCCGCCAGGAAGGAATTCCATGATCAAGTAGCTACCGTTCCACGTCAATTCGAGGACTCCAAGTCATTGACCGCACATGTCACGCACAGGAAATGAGGGTCCTGGAAGGAGTAGAATAGCTGCACAACCCAAGGAGAATTAGATTGGGCCAGAACGTCGCGCTCTGCACGGACGTGCGCCAGCTGCGAAGAGACATGAAATGGACTGTCTATGCTGATAGACGAGCGGAGGGCCACGTACCTGGTCTTTCTTCAACATCTGTTCCTTATTTAATGTCTTCATGGCATATATCTTGCCAGTGTCTGTCTTTTGCACCAAGCGGACCTGTGGAGTGCTCGGCCATATCCCAGCAACGCACGAGAACGTAACACACCTCGCCGAATGCACCCTTGCCAATGACCTTTACAGTCCGGAAATCGCTCAAGCCCAGCTTGGTCCGCTTGAGACGAAGGAACGTCGACTCCTTCCGGCCCAGTTGCGCCAATTGGCGCTGCTTCCGCTCGTCAGACATGTGCGTATCCGCATGGAGTTTGCGCTCCAGCTCGACGCGCCTGTCAGTGTGACGCCCAACCAGTCAGCTATAATCTGTGCCTAGCGGACGCAGTGGAAGCAAATTACCGTTGGTTGCGCGCGACAGCAGCATCGACAGAGAGCTTATAATAGTTTTCGAGCCTGAGTTGTGCTGTTTTGGCGCGGGGAACCGCGGAGTCGGAAAACTGAGCAGTGCTTCGATCAAAATAGACGTAGTCGGTCTTGGGTTTGCCGTCCGTAGCCGACGACGACGAGCTCCTGGAGATACGGGATGTTTGCCGGTCCGAAGTAGGAACAGACTGAGATTGTGCCATTTGCTTGGATGAGGGGAAAAGCGCAGACAGGAGTCTGGTGTTCATGTCAGGGAACACGGCTCAGGTGATCGTCACCAAGCACTGCCGTGACGATCATGCCCGATTTAGCAAGCAGAATACGTTTCGATCTACCACTCGTGTGTACATGTCGTAATTTGTAGCTAATTGCTAATGATTACTCAGATTGAATATGCGTGGAGACTACTGTTCTTTGTGAAGGATTCCAGCTAAACACACGTGGAGATTATAGCTCAATCCCCTCTAAATTGGTGCCCTGGTATAGACGATATCAGCATGTGCTCTTCACCTGAGAGCTACATGCAACGTACCAGTTTGGGCAGCCGCACATATGCATCAGTGCCTGTGAAAGTAGTCCACGGTAAGAATCATGTTGGTAGGATAGCACAGAGGAAAACACGCACCCCATCCGTCCAGCGACACCAACTCCAGCGACCCCCCAAAATAGCTGGTTCAAGCATATTAAGTACCGAACGTTCAAACATGAAATAGAAACATACGTAGCAAAAATTTTGCTCATAGGAAGACCGATGCCAATGTGAGCCAATGCATTTTCACGATCTTCCGACGGCTTGAGGTTTATGTCCGTGTCTGCGGAATTCGGCCGCCCCCACTGCTTCACCTGCTCGGCAACAGTAGCCTTCACACCTTGGTCGCTGGCGAGAAGGCGCCGCAAGGCCTGTAGGTGGTTTTGGTCCATGCGGATGGCGTTTCGCGTATGAGAGAAAGAGAACAAGTCTGCGGGACTGGAAACGGGATGACTGGTCGTCAGCAAGCCCCCGCCTGAACGATGTTCATTGGTTTGTCAGAAGTAAAGAAATATCGTAGTTCATGTCAACCTTGATCTGATACCCGTATACCGACATCATGCTGTCCTTTGACTACCGTCACGCAAACCGGGGGCAATATTGACGAATGCTTATGCTGATTGATAGTTGCATGTAACGACTAACGAGCGAATCAACTGAATTAACCGTAGCGGCCGGAAAGGAGGAAGGCGCACATTCTTCAACAGTTCAAAAACGATGTACCTGTATACCGAGCAGTGATCAGTCAACGAAAAGTAGAGGGTTTTGCGGCGAAACATACTCCAAGTGCTCACGAATATAGGAAAATGTCACGTCTGTGTGCCCATCTATAATGACCTCCGGCCACTGCATTTCTTTTCGTTGTTGCAAAAGCTCAACGCAGCGTATAGTGCTGCGCCTCACGTCGAGGCCTGTAAATATGATGCCCACATGCGGGTCTTCCTGTGGGCGGTATTGCCAGTCTAGGTAGCTGTTTGTCAAAGCAATATGATGCTCAGCAAGCACCCTGCGTGATATTCGAGAGACAAGCATTCGACGCATGAAAGAATCGAGTTCGTCGGAGTGTAAATGAGGCGAGGACAAAGAGAGTCCAAGTGCCAGATTAGGAATTACGACGGCACTTAAACACGGTGTTATAGACGAAGGAAAATGCGAGACGTAGGACGCACTGCTCGTCAAGCTTCTTTGTAAGGAATCGGCAGTATTCAATATTCCGCTCAATAGTTTTGATTTCTGGAAACTTGCGAAACCTGCGCGGAGGGAATCAACTTAGGAACAAACGCCGTCAGCACCGTGACAACTTACTGTTCAAACGCGTCCCAATACATCTTTGAATAATCTGTAGTGAGTACATCGTAGAAATAAGCAACACAAATATGAACCTACTTCGTACACTCGATTGATGCCCTCCTGCGTTACAACAATGTAAGGCAGTTTCTGGATGTCTCGTAATCGCTTCGCTAACCGCACAGGCAGTTCCTCGCGGACATAATTTGCATTCTTCGATGAATTATCAATGTACTGGCCAGTGAAGACTCGAATGGCATGCCTTCAACAATCGTTCTTCGTCGATGTGCCGGCCATAGAAGACCTAACAACAAGCAATATTGAATCATCGAGAAGCCGGCGTGTAAGGACCCAAACGATACCAATTGACGAAGCGTCACACGGTGTGCTTCCTTGCCAGCATAAATTTCAAGCTGTCGGTTTTGATAGAAGTCCAATGCAGTAGACTCATGCCGTTGTTGTGAGCGATAACATGGATGTAGCTCATGTGAGACTCGGTGCCTTTGCGGAGCGCATCGCGGATTATGCGGCAGCCAAATGCTAAACAGTCGTGAGCTGGGCCGTGGTGTACGAAGGACCATGGCTTCCCAAGGAACGGTATACATGCTGCAGAACAAGAGTTTCACGATCCTGCCCTCAGATTGTTATCTGGTCGGAGTCGTTCCACAGGATTCAAATAGTGAGAATCCCTGCACGAAATGT